CATTAGTACTGTGCTATCCAACTAAATGGCTCAGTTACTTCAAGCCAACAGCTCAGGGACAGGAATTTTTTTAATTTATTTTTTATTTTAATTCATTTCTATTAAATTAATTTTGTTGCATTTAACCATAAAATTTAAGTTTACCATTGATATAAGAAACAAATTTCATGTTAAGTAAAAAAAGAAACTTTTTTTTTGGGAGGGCGCCCTGAGTCACCGGGCCTTGTGCTGTTATCCAAAGATCATATATCACTTTAGTCAAACGTTCTTGTAATATTTTAAAATGCTTCTGAGCAACAATTCCCCTGCTTTTTGAAGGTTGTTTTAAGTTGTGTTTTATCTCACCTCATTCTTTGTACCTGAATATTTTATTTAAACTCCACAGAACACAGTTATGTCTCCAAAAGCTTCTAAAACTTAAGTAATAAACCTGTGCTGTAACTATGCAGGATGTACAACATAATGAAGATGTTACATAATGAGCAGCCTTTTTCTAGTTATAGTTGCAAATTTTCAATAACTGGAGAATTAGCCCAAGATAAATGTGCTAATTTGCAACAAAAAGGGGATCTTTGATCAGGATGTGAAACGTTCTTAAACACTCCGATGAAACATGAAAAATGAAGGACAGCTGAAAAGTGGCATGCCACATTATCAAATAATCAAGTATCATTAAATAATTTGCATAAAAAATAGATTATCAAGACTGAGTGGGGTGGATATTGTTTCATCTTTCTAAAATCTGTTTGCAATACTCATTGTTAAAAGTTTTTTCTGAATAAGAAGTGTCATCCAAATCACAGTATGATGTGGTGAACTGTGGGAGTTTAGTACCTTTTATGCTTTTCTGCACTGAGGCCTTTTTTGTTGACGGTTCCATCTTGTTGCAGAGCCTTTTCTAGCGACAGTGACGTGTCCCGAATTTGTAAAGACATCACTAAAGTGTCCTGACTGGCAGGCAGCGTCTCCTCCTCTCCTCCCTGTTGTCCCAGGTGCTGCTTGGCGTAGTCAAACCCCTGCACAGGCTAACMGACGAGGCAAAGGAAAGAGACAAAAGGGATTGTTTAAAATGAATTTCTTATTTTGCAGATGGAAAAAAAGCAACTATGAGGAGAAACAAATCTGTACATCAAGCAGCATTCTCACAAAACTGGCGTTAAAATACAGTGGGAGAATTGTTTCTTTTGATGTCCGGAGGATTTAAAAAGCAGAACAGGGATTACTGCACTGCTGTGCCTTTAAATAGATGAGCACAGATTTAGCTATAATTTTTTTTTCCATATTTCCAAATTCTTCTCACATAAATGCCTCACAGTGGTTGTCAACGAGATGAGATATGCAGACTATTGCTGAAATGTTGTAATGAAGTTAAACTGAATGCATTTGACGATAAGAGGGAGGAGAAAGACAACTCTCACATGAGGTGTCAACGTGCTTATCAAGAGAAGAGTACAGAAACTCACACACAATTTTATAAGCTGAAAAATTTAGGGAGCTGTCATCACACCATAAATTTTCGACACACATCGTCACCCCTAAGCAAGCCCCGCCAAAGTGCAAAATCAATGTATTACCCTCCCCTGGACGTTTATCTCCTACACCCTACACTGGAAGATTCGCAGAGATGAAAGAGTTTTACTGAAAGTGCTACAGTTGCTGCTCTTTAAAGAGGTAGCACTAACAAGCACATATGMTGAAAGGGGTTGGCTTGCACACATTCAGTTATGCAGAGAGGTTTATGAGATGGTGTTATTTAAAATTTTAGGAGAGCACTCCTAAAATTCATCCTCGACTTTTTCATTACTCTTTAGAAAGAACTAGCTGTATACTCTGCCTAAAATATTTTGGGATGTGTGCTCTGTCAGGACATTTAATAATATTTAAAGGGATCTATGATTAGTTGTAACATTAGACTTTATTTGATAAACATATATTTTAACTGTAAAATAAAGACTGTAAAAATACTGTAGGCTGTTTAGTTTTATACTTTTTAAACTAAAAGTTAAAAAATATATTACACGGACGGGGCCATTTTATTTACACACAAAGCATTCTGGGTAAATGATGACATCAACTAGGTCATCAGTGTGAGGCTGCTAGCGAGCTATATCCACCCTGAAGGTTAATCTTGGACAATATCTGACGACTGGCTCTTTTAAATGAAACCAGAGAGCGTTGACAGAGAGGAGAAGGTAGAAATGACTCAGCCTGTAACTGAAAATATRGATGGAGGACAACAGAGCTGCTTCATGGAAGAAGAACCTCAGCTTAGCCTGTTAGCTTTAGCATTAGCCCCGACGCTATCACCATATATATGTATTAGCTCAGCGCTACACATTCTCCTCTCGTCACTGAGGTCCTCCATCCACATGACAGAGAGGGGAACACAACAATGACTCAGCTGCAACTGAAAATGTGGATGGAGGACCTCACTTTAGCTTGTTTGTCGCACTAGTGCCAAGCTAAAACATACAAGGCAATATAGYGTTTGCGCTAGCGCAAAGGCTAACAGGCTAAGCTGAGGTTCTTCTTCCATGAAGCAGCTCTGTTGTCCTCCATBYATATTTTCAGTTVCAGRCTGAGTCATTTCTAYCTTCTCCTCTCTGTCAACGCTCTCTGGTTTCATTTAAAAGAGTCGATCGTCAGATATTGTCCAAGATTAACCTTCAGGGTGGATACAGCTCGCTCACACCGATGACCTATCCACATCATCATTTACTTGCTTTGCGTGTAAATAAAATGGCTCCGTCCATGATGAAATATATATTTTTTAAATTTACTAAACTAAACAGTCTACATTCTTTATTTTACAGTTAAAATAAATGTTTATCAAATAAAGTCTAATGTTACAACTAATCAGGGATCCCTTTAAAATCCAGCAGATTTAAGTTGTAAAGATGCATCTTTTACAAAATGACACTGTAGAGTCTTAAACTGTGTGTGATAACTGCACTGTAGGTAGAACATAATGGTCTTTTCAGTTTAATACAAGAGATTTTTATTGCTTTCAGTTTAATGAAATGCAATAAATAAAGTGGTGCATTGTGCAGCAATTTACACTTAGCATTTTGTAGATGGTTACACTGATGGATGCACCCTGAGCTGAACCAGTGAGCCCAACAAAATGACAAATACAGCTTTAAATAAGTCATGCAACAACAGAGGCAACAGTTTTCAGAACGTGTTGCATAAAAAAGATGTCAGTATAAACTTAAACATATTTTTTTTCTGCATTAAAAATGTTTTATTATGACATTTCTCTTTGCGGCCTGATCTATTTTAAATGATGCCATCTGGAGACAGTTATAAGAAAAACAGGCAATTTTAACCTTTCATCCAAGAAAATTACATGTTAAGAGGTTTGCCATTCCATAGTGTTGTTAAATCCTTAGTCTTTATCAGCACAGCTGAAATTATTGAAATATATCAGCAGTGTTGTCTGCACAGAACCCTGTTTAAATCCCACAGATGGCTCGGCTGAGTCTTGGAAATGAAAACACAAGCTGGTAATGGAAAGAAAGAAATACAAAGATGCAGATACCTGGTGATAATAGCTTACATCCCTCCGGTACGCCATCTGAAAACAGAAAAAAAATCCTTTAAAACAGTGTCTATGTGGGTCAAGTTTCTGTTCATGATTGTCTGGGGTTCTGCAAAAGATTTCAGATAGAACACTGAGGTGTAACAGTTTAGATAATGTGTAATAAAGTGGAGATTACAACAAGAATATTCAGGCAGAAACACAAGACAAAGTCAAAATCACAGACTTCAGAACAATAGAATATGGGCTTTTTTATCTGTTATTATGCAGATTTTCTCAAGTATTTTTTCGGCTCCAATAAAATTCTGGCAAACCATTCGACAGCTGAGGCGAGGGAAGAAGCATTGATTTTTTTAAATTTATCACAAAGTGGTGATAAAGTCCTGTTCACAAGTTTCATGTTTTCATATTTCAAGTTAGCAATTTATAAAGACAATTAAGATTTGTCTCAAGTGTGGTTCTGTGAAACAGTTAAGAAGAATGAATATGTTACATGGTGCAGATGCAGTCCAAACAGGATCAAGGCCAAATTGAAGTGCAGGTGAATTAAAACAAATTTATTCTAAAACGGTTCAAAACAGTTGATGAGAACACCATTTGACAAATCTTTACATCACTGCCAACTTGCAGCATATACAGCAGCTGTTACATTTTCAGTTCATCCTGTGGCAATTTCAGATCAATTGTGTGATGCAAAATTGACAACGGTGTAAAGCTGTTTTACGATCGAAGCAATTGAGTTTTGTCTTTCCTCCCCTCTGTGGAGCTGTTAGCTTGTCAGTACAGTCATAATTAAATTCTGTCTCCAAACTGAGGTCATTCATAAAGCTATCTACAACAGATTAATGTTATTAATATACTGTTACATTAATTGTTCATAATTATTTCCTCAAACCCCGTATCAAAAKATCTGAACTATCCCTTTAAAATGATTCACAACACATAACAGAATAAATTGTATTTACATAGTATAGAAATGGATCAAACTAAGGCAATAGTTGCTTTTTCAGACACATAAACAGGTAATACCTTGGCTCGAGGATTGAGGTTACCGATGGCATCAACTTTAAAATCGCTCTTATTCTTCCTGCACAGCACAGCTGTGATGATGATGATAATGAGCATTACCACTGAGATGGGGGCCAACACTGCAGCGATTATCCACAGGTTATTAGGAGGGTTCTTGACCACAGCTGAAAAAAGGGGAAAAAATCTATTTATCGTTTTCTCATGACTAGACCCTAAACACAAAATGCAAACTGTTTGTCCACTGGCTGCTTTATTGGAAAAATAAATATGTGTTAGAATTACAACAATAAATATCTTTCTCTAGCTTGTTAACCATACAGAAACTCAAAGTGACACTGTCTGATTTACAGGGTCCCTGATTCAGCCACTGTAGGCAACAATCTATAAGAAAATGCTGCATGTGTGCTCACCCTTTCTCCCCTTCCCTTTTCTCTTGTAGCAGTGAGCAACACTGCAGCCCAAACAATCACAGCCCCACGAGCATTATAAAGGGGGAAAAAAAGAAAATCCGTGCCCCTCAATCCTACAGAAGTTCTTCATTTGAACTCAAACCATATCATGCGGTTTGATTTGCATGTTTTTCTCTAACGGTTTTCTCATTTTTCATGTTGTTGTATGTCAGAAGCCAGCCGTGCTTACGTTCTGCTTGCAGCTGGACAAAGTAGCCCAAGGTGAGCGCCATGGTCTGAGAATCCACCGTGTTCAAGACCTTGGCGGCCGAAGTGCCCGATAAAGGAACGCCATTGTGTTGGATGTAGTAGGTCATCTCTGCTGGATTCTTCAACCCAGACACCCTGCGGATGCTTACCATCTGATTAAAAAAAGCAAAGCCCACACTTTCAGAAGCAACAGAAAAAAATGGTGTTATTGAACACTGAATAAAAAGGGAATAAAACTAAATAGTGAAACCATGCATTTTGGCACACAGAGGGAATAGTATATAAACATCCGAGAGCACTTGTTTGGTAAAGGATTCAACCTCTGGCTTGTTTTGATGGGCAATTAGCAAATGATGAAGCTGAGAAGCTCCCTAATTACAGGAGGGCTGACCACAACTAATTATGCAAGAGCTGCAGAAGTGCTTATCAAAGTGTACATCAAATTAAATATTTATGATAAAAAAAGAGTCCACAAAAAAAAGTTTAAGCTAAACGACTTCTGATTATCATTCCAGGGCAGTGTGGCAAAACATCACAGAAAAAAAAGTCAAGTGATTCATTTTTTAGGCACTGTTTTGGTACCTGAACAGTGAAGCTGCCAACAGTTGTGGCTCGTCGAAAGCGAGTGCCCTGCTGGCCCGCCAGCACAAACAGCTCTGCCAGGCGCTGCTCCATTAGACTGGCAAAGCTCTGGTACTGTCCCTCCAGGCTGGCGTTGTCAACATCCTGGATCACTGCAAATGTAGTCCAAAGGTAGAGTGCACAGATGGTTGTAAAAGAGGACATAATAAATTGTTCTTGATGACAGAATATTGTTCTAAAAAAGAGACAGAATTCAGAAATTAACATAATGTCATAAGAGTTTTTGTAGTTGAAGAATTCAACAGATTCCAAAACATGCATGGCTTTAATAAGACAAGTATCTCAAACACGAATGTTGCTGCAAAGAACCATCACATTTTAAGATGTGACTGTTTCTCAAACATCACAGAAAATCTACTGAGCCAAAATATTTAAACCAGCCCCCTTTTATTTTTTTGCAGGGAAATATTGCACCCACCACCTATAATTTTCTCTCCTAATTGCAGAAGCACTGCAGCAGCAGGACAATGTGCTGTGCCAATGAGCAATAACCCCTGAGGAATAACTTGGGGAATGTAGCAACAAGCTAGAGGCGTCAACCTGACCTCCAAACTCCCCAGAGAAGTCCGACTGCAATCGCAGAAACAAAATGACCCACTGCCGACATCCCACTCTGGTTTCAAGAAGATTTTGTCAAATTAGTAAGTAAAGTTTTATTTATGTAGCGCCTTTCACAGAAATAAATTCACATGGTGCTGTACAATCAGGCAAGGGGGAGGGAGAGTTAAGACAGGTCATGCAGCAAACACAGTTGCACTACTTTTAGACAAACAGAAAAACAGAAAAACTAAAAACCACACAAGGGAAAATGAGGGCCGTGTCAACATCTTCCAACCAGGAAGGATTTAACCAACAGATCCAAGGCCGTTGCCGGGGAGATCCAGATTCTCTAATCAGTTGTTTTGGGAACAGAAAGGACAGGCAGACAACAACAATTTTCCCTCTGCCTTAATGTCTRCTGGAACTCTCAAGGTGGCGAATCCAATCAGACAAATGGTGTGGACACATACCGCTGAGCCAGTTCATCAGCTTTCTCCAAGATCAATTCCAACTGGCCAGCAAAGTCCAGGGACCACAGCCGGCCCGCGGTCCTCCGTAGAACTGCTTGCAGACCGAGCCTAGCTCGCTCAAGGCCCAAWGTCCGAGTGCTGATAGAATACAGCCGTCCATCCAGTTGGTCAGTCAGCCAGAAAGTGCAAAGCCACCAACGCTGTTTTGTATAGAACAGACCACCAGCCAAACTGTAGAATCCAGTGATCGGAGTCCAAATGTAAATCCAGAACAGAGAAGAACAGAGGTCCCACCCAAAACATGTCCTCCCATGGAAGCAGAAAAATAAACTTTGGTCCAAAAATTTTATTGAGAGACCAGCTAACCAAGTCCATAAAAATAAAAATGTCCATAATTTGTAGTTTCAGATGAAAAATGTAGAGAAGGCTCCAAGCAGCAAAGCAGGGAAAGATAAGGCAGGGCAGGAGAGAAGGGAGAAGCATCTTACTCCTTCGAGAGCGGAAACAAAAAAAAAGATGCAAAATCGAAAATGAAAAATTATGCTGCTTTTTTTTGTCACAGTAGTGGTCACAGTTTGCCAGTGCAAAAAAAATGCTGTAGCATTACTTAACCSTGACTGTTACAAATGGAGCCTGTCCTGTGAAATTGGATTAAAAAAAAGATCTTCTGGGCACATGTTATTAGTTCATGGCCATGAGATAAATAATGTGTGGACATAAGATAATTATTATTGCAGTGATTTCCATACAGAGACTGTTGATTGTTTATATGGACAAGCTAGAATTAATATGATTTTATTTTGATATAGGAATGAATAATACTTTAGTCACTTGCGGTTAGGCATGAYGAAGTAATTTTTAATGCTGTGTAAGACAGCTGACAGCCAAAGCTGAATTTGTCCAAAAAGCTTTATTTAATTGTTTTGAAGCTCAACACTCAAAACAGCTCCTCTCACACTATGTTTCCATCCAATTATAATGCACACTTTTAGCAAACATAAAATGTAGCAAATAAAAAATGTGTATCAGACATGTTTTCACAAACCGGCTTGGAGCGAATCAACCAGGTTACGTAAAGTGAAATTACATCAGACATTGACTTTACGCATGGCTGTAATAAACAGGAAGTAAAGTTGCAAACTCACAGGGATACACATATCTGTAGAGAAGTTATCAGGAATGTGCTGCTACTAATCGGGAAAGTTATAAGTTGTAACTATTCTGTCATATCAACTCGTAYTGGTGATGTTATATGCTGTCTGGAGACAGAAAAAGAAATGCAATTCTCTTCAATTCTCGGGAATATCTGGGAAGACTTTGACGGCGGGAGGAGGGTCCAACTGCAGCCGCTACAATTATTGGACAGCRTCCAATGTTTGCTACGTCAAAACCTATTTGCCAAATGTGTTTCCATCTCTCCTTTTGTGCATTCACTCATTTTTGGAAATTCCAAAAAGCACATCAAGCCACCGTAAAAAACGTTTTTGCAAAATTGAGGACACTTTTACGAATTTTACCATTTCCATCCACCTTTTCTAATGCGGCACTTCAAAACGCATATTAAAAAATGTTTATGGAAACACGGCTACAGTTACTTTRCTGCGGAAGGAGTTGGAGTTACGCTGCATTCAGAAACACAGTAAAAAGAGACATGGCTACTCAAAATCACAAAATTATCTCATGGGCATGTACTATTTATCTCATGGTCACACATTATTATCTTGTGGCCACAAGATAACTTTTTGTATGCAAAATCACTGGACTGGCACTGTAGCTGCACCTAACTAAGGAGTTATGACAAGTGCACGAATAATAGCTGGTGCATCAGTAAGAGTTTCCTGAACACGCTAAACATATGTGTGATTTGTAAGATCGAGAGAGAGAGAGACAGAGAGAGAGAGAGAGAGAGAGAGAGGGAGAGAGAGATTTAGTCCATCATTTGTCTACTGACACACAAAAGGAAAAAAAAGAGAAAATTCCTCTATACATGTGCTCCACTTCATCAACAGCTGAAAAGGCAGAGCTGCTGGTTGTACATCTTACTCAGTCTGAGTAAATCTCATTACGAAGGTGCTGACCTTGTATTGACTCGGCCACTTTTTGCCGCAAACGTGCAGGTTAGGAGCCACAGAGTCTGATCTGAGAAACCCATCCACATGACTGAATACCTGTAAGGGTGCCCTCGAGCACCGAGATTTATTGTTCAGGTTCAGCATATGTGGTCCGTCATAAAGCTTTAAAGGACTCCTATTCCCCYAACTGCTCATACAAAAAGAGACATTGAGGCTCACGCATGAGCAAACTCCTTTAAACTTACAGACAGTGCAAGAATTACAATATGAAGGAGATTTTCTGTCTAATGTATTCTTGCTGATGTCTGCTTTACCGCGAGAAAACAAAGAAGTTTGCATTTGACAACTTGTCAGATGTGCACCTATCAGCAATTTAGCAACAGAAGGGGAGAACGAAACTGCAACTCATTTCTGCAGGATGATGAATGGATTCTTTAAACAATTTGTTTTTATTATTTTTGCCTAATAAAAACAATGGCATCCTTACCTGTGACAACCCAGAAGTCTCTTGTTGCAATAGATGTGTTCAGATTGTGATATTCAATTGCTGCAAAACAAACAAAAAAAAACTACATTAGCCTTTAAATTTTGCTTTTACACTTCTTTACTAATTAGGATTACCTTTTTTTATTTGTGTCCCTGATTGCCGGATTTCAGAACCAAACAATGGGCAAAAGTTTTCACTCTGCCATTTTTTTTTTATTTAGTGGTTGAGCTCCCAGTTCATAGCCTCATTATCACTGGATGTCAGACGAACACAGAAGAGAAGAGGAGCTTTAAGCTGTCTGAGCTCTGGTTGTCTCTGCGTTCCTTTTACATCTATTTCCTGCCTGATTGAGCTGTTGTGCTGAAGGCTGGTGCATGGGGGTGTGTGTGTGGGGTGGGGTCCACTATCTCTGGGTCCATAAAAGATTCAGGGCTCTGCATCAGTTTACACTGTTTATATTCCTCAGTGATAACACTATGGAGGACCAAAACTGGCATAGTTAGAAAATTAAAATATTATATATTTTACAGCATATTTTACATTTTACTATTCTTAAAAATCTATACAGTNGGGTAGGAGGGGTGCGCGCTGTATCAGTGGCCTGTGAAAGCCGACTCGCAGAACTGTACACTCAGGCATGACGAGGGAGACGGGTGGTGGGCAGCAGGGAGGGGTGAGAGGAGCAACGAGGCAGTTTTTTTYCCCCTCTCCACTGGTGATAGATGGAGCTGCAGGGCTGTCAGCAAAATCAGCTTTACGCAGCCTGGTCGCTCGGAACACATGAAAGTAAAACCTGAGACAAGGTTTTCACATAAAGATCTGCTGGATGACAATAAGAACCATTGGGGGTTAAAAACTGAAGCGCATTTATAAGTCATTCCAAATCCCGGGTAGAAAGCAATTATTAAAACAATCCTTCACATTCTGAGGGGAGCGTAAAAATGTTCCSCCCTCAGCTTCACTTCTAGTCCACCTGAGAGAAACGTTTGAYGAGAGGTGGAGGAGTAGAAGAGCTGAACACTGCAGTTAGTCCAGCCTACACAGGGAAACGCAGGACTGCAAACAGCCACAATGGAGTGGTGTGAGATTTGGTCTTTAGACCAGAACCCACACGGGCGCTGGAAGAATCCCCTACTGTTAATTATTTACTGCAAAAACTGGCTTTGAAGTGAGGAAGCCGTCTCTGCCAGCATATGCTCACACCTCCTGTGAAAGGTGTGATATTACTAACAGTAAGTCTACACAGTATGAACGGAGAAGGGGGAAAAAATCACTTTTTACCACTATTTGTTTCTTTATTTATTTTTTTACACTCCTGTCTCACTGGGTTTGCCTCTTTGTCAGTTTCTGCTCCCCCGCTTTTTTTCTGGGTATTTGTCTTTTTCTTTCTTTGTTCAGCAAATACATAAACTGCCTCTAACTACATTTTCTGGGTTAATTAAATCATGGCACTGTGTTTTATTTATTTATTTTTGTATTTTTTTAACTAAGACCTAAAAACACAAATCAAACTTTATATAAATCAAAACTGTTTTTTATCACCTAGATGATGATCTAAATCATTTGCAGGCTGGATTTGAGGAATGCAGCCTTATAAACACAATAATTCCAATTTGGAAAACAGTGACAACAAAAGATAACCATGTTTTCACTGCAAKTTGCACAGAACAGCTCATAAAGTAGGAGAAAAATTAAAAGACTGAATTTTGACCTACCAAGTTCAGCTTTCTGTGTCTGTCCTCTGTGACATTTTTAGAAATCAACAAATTTCTAAGAACAAGTGAGCCTATGTYAATTTGGTAGAGAATACTTCATGGCAGTTTTGAGACAGGCACAATAAAATGATTTTAACAACAGCTGCCATCAGAAGTCTGTAGAAAATCCTCTCAAGACTGTGTTCAGTGATAGCCTAAGGCTCGAACTACGCAAAAATTTTTCTAGTATCAATCCTTTTTTTTACAACAAAAAAATTTAAGCACTTTTGCTGGTCAGACACCATTGTAACAATTCAAGTTGTATTTCTGCTTGAACAGTAAGTTAAAAAGTGCAGTTTCCACAAGCTGGCCTTCAAACACAGCAGAGCATCGTGAGCAGAGGGCTTTTAAAAACTCTACACTTTCTCCAGACCTGTTTGAGCTTATTGAGGCAGAGCTTTCAGTAAACAGRACTACGTTCTAAAAGACACCGTTGCCTCTTGTGTTCACATAATCTGTAACAGCCACACACACCATGAGCACATGGACCGAATGCATTATTGGACAGCTTAGATTAAATCTGCATATTTGCAGCGCTCAGAGCTCAACAAGTGTGCACTTTATTTAGGTTTATAAAGCAGATAAAAGATCTTGTGGTTTCCAGTTTTAAAGAATATRTTTAGACAAAAAGAGGTGACAGCTGAAAAAAATATATAGCTTTTGGAACCCATTGTTTATTAGCTAGCTACTGTCTGCAGAGACTTTAAGTAAACTGTGTAACAAACAAGACAGCTTGGCTTACAGTACCTGATAGAGGGTGTTTTGTTGATTTGTATCACTTAAGAGTACTACACTGAGGATTCCTGTCTTTTGTTTACACATAGGACCATATATCCTTTTTTGTTTTCTCTTACACAATAAATGACAGTTTCTTTGTAAAACAGGGTGTTTGTGTGTGCATGCGTGTGGGTTTGTGAAACGAGTTTAATCCCCATGTCAACTTCAAGAGCTCTGTTTCACAACTTTTACTGAGAAATTATCAAGAATGTTATACAAAACAAATCATTTCTCATCKGAGGATTAATAAAATCCCCTCAAAATTAATGTCTCAGTTTATGAGCATCTGAGCCATGTGTCAGTCATAATTCTCTCAGGTAAAACAGACTGGARCTCCACTGGGACTGGTGTTTAGACCACTACTGATTCTCTGTCACCCTTCAATTGTCTCAGTCTTTGCACATTTTTAAAGTAGACTGAGGCTGAATGTGTCTTCAGTGGAGACTGAAACAAAGTTGTGGTTTTACTTGGTTTAGTTTTGAAACACAGTTGTAACTGAGAGGGGCAGCAAAACATTTAAAAACCTCCAGTTTTGTCAAACCTGGGTGTCATTCAGGATTATCCACTTCATTAACTTCWTTCAGAATAACTTTTACAGCAGTAAATCAACATTTGCATCACATTTTGATTTCATCTTTATATTTGCACCAACTTTATAAAGTGCAAAATACTACCAGTGCCTTTCAAAAAAAACCCAAGCAAGTTTTCCTGACGAAAAGATGTGCTTTTTTTATCACAACTGTAACTTACGTTCAGCAATAATAAGTGGTGGATAGAAGAGGAAGTAGCCCACCAGCTCAGCAGAAAGCTGACCGAGGAGGTTTGAGGCAACTGTTCCRTTAAGATAGGCGGTTCCATTCTTTACAGTGTAGACCAGCGACACAGCAGGATAGCCTGCTGTCTGAGAGACGCTTAGCATCTATGAAAAACAAACAAAAACAGAAAAAGTTTAGGCCACAAACAGTAGAAAATGAAGTACAAAGTGTAAAATAGCCCAAATCAGTGCAGTATACTGTCGTGTGCCAATTATAAGTAAATAACATAAAGCAGAGTGACAGAATACACTCTTAATTATATGAAATATTCCAGCAGCATAACAGCAAAAAACAAGAATGAGTTAGCAAAAAGCTGTGGCTTTTTTTTTTTTTTTTTGCCTTTGATGCAATTTACTATGGCAGCTCATCAAAATTAATTCAAACATTGCCTCTCAAGCATAATTAACATTTTTTCAAAAGCAGCTGTTTCAAAAGGACACACTCCGATACACTAAGGGACATTATTTTTACACAAATTACACACAATTTGCATCTGCTTGTGGCTGCCAAATCTCATAAGTTACATTAGTGGCACTGATGTCTGGAAACAAAAATATGTTGTGTTCTAACGTGCTGCAAACACGATTTAGAGAAATTAATTGCTGAAAATTTCTGCAAACAGACAAGAATCTAAAACGTCAGGCTAAGTCGTTACATTTTTAGTAACTTCTTGTCTCCCTGTCACAAGAATAAAGGGATGCAGTCGTGCAGGGCAGCGGATCCCCACATTACCTGAACTGTGAGTTGGCTTTTAACTTTAAGAACTTTGGTCTGGGCCTCAGAAAACACCCTCTGCAGTCTCTGTTCCATCATTTGAGAGAAGCGACAGGATCGAGGATCATCCCCCGTTCCCACAAACTGCAGCACTGCAACAGAAAAAGTTTAAAAAACGGCATATTTAATAGGCTTCTTTATCAACTTTCATGGTGATGTTTTAATAAGCTGTATATACAGTGAGCAGCGACTCTAGAAMACATGACTTTAGAATTTATGTGCCTAATGCAGACATGAACTTTATGTTTTTGAAATCTGAAAATGTAATTTCCTTCTCCAATGTGGTGTTACTAAAACATATTTTCCACTTTCCACCACCTCTGCTCCGGTGTTCACTCACAGCAGGAGCAAATAGCAGTCAATCTCAAGCTGATCTGTCACTTTTTTTATTTTCATGCTGAATGAGCAGCAGCTGACCTGTTTTCAGCTGGAAGCCAGTGGCAGGGTTGGGTCTCCACAACGCAACAGGGAAAGGCAAGGCAGTTACCAGGGGGAGATACTGTCGCAGGTCTGCTATCAGCTTATCGCGGCCGTATGATGTCAAGCCCTCCATCACCACAGATGGAGGATAAACTATGTCTCCTCCTGTCACGTGATACGCCACTGTCATGTTGGGAGAGCCAAAAACAGTCTCCACCTGACGAGGTAGGGAAAAAAAGGTTACATCTCTGCAGGTTGTTCTTTTTTTCTTTTTTTGTGTCACTTCAGTAGAAAACGAAACCAAATATTAGTTTATTTAGTTTTTTTATTTCTTCATCATCAGTGACTTTTWTTTCTCTGCAGGTTGTTCTAAGAGAGGATATCAATTTTGTTTCACCTCAGTCTGTATTTTACAGATGAGATGTGTTAAAGTCATATGAGCAGTAGTGTAACGCAAGTCCAGCAGTAAAAAAAAATGCATCACAAATACCAGAAAGTAAGGTCCAGTTGTTAAATATAGGTAATCAAATTGCCACACAATTACACAGAAACTATATGGCCAAATCATTTTTCAAAAACATGTTTTAATCTMTGTAGAAATAAAACTTTTGCTTCACTGGGTGTTGCAAAAAGTGGTCACTGTGCTTTCTRTTTGTGCAATATAAGTCTATGGAGTGTGCATTCTACTGATGATCATGAGTTATATAAATTCAGTGTAGCCCATAAGCCTGTGTGCATCATTGGTAACTGTGAGAGGACAGTCCCSAGAGAAAACCCACACCAGCACAGAAAGATTATTCAATCACCAGCCAGAAAAAAGACCTCAAGCCAAGTTTTGAACCCAGGRCCTTCCAGCTGCAAAGCCCCTGTCCCACTGTGCAGCCCACTGTGTACATGTTGTGCAATTAAAATGTTTTTAAATATTATATTCAGTAAGTTTAAATAGCTCATGTTGTGAAAATAAATCATATTAATATAGAAATATAAAAATCATAACAATTACCCTAAAAGTGAAGCCAAGGGCATGTCTTGGATTGATAATGATAAAAATTGATTGATAAAGATTTTTTTGCAGATACATTAAGCATGCTTGAGTCAATAACTGATGATGTTACACCAGAATTACAGTTCAATGATTTACATTTTTACCAGCATACACGTACAAAAGGTTTAAAGTCTAAACGAAATTATTAAAATATTTGCAAGTCATTTCTACCGTTAAGACTGTTTTCAAACATACAGCACAAAATACAAGCCACCAACTTTTTTAGRGGCAGCTTCCTGGGAAACATTGTTTTTGGTTTTCACCAAGTTCTTTTTACTGATTGTTTGTCGTTACCTTACAACCCTTTACGCCAGAAGTAGCTTGCTGTACCTGATTTTCTTTAAACATGGGAGCTCCCACTTAAACTAATTAAATGTTTTCCTTTTACAAGTAGCAGTGTGTTTCATCACACAGTATATTATTTAGCAGAAAGTGATGGCATTGTGCTTTACCTAGCAGGCTGCACTGAACTTGTGATTTTTATGTATAGTTGTTGTCATTTTATGACTAGAGTGCCAAAATCAGCCTCCACAGCAGTTCTAAAAGCTGCAAGCTGTTCTGCAGCAGGTAAACTCTTACCATTCGTGTCTCTTTTAATGTGCAAGATGTCRCTATCATCTTCACTGTGAAGTTTTATGGTCATTCAGTATGTGTTTCTGGTAAAATAAATAAATAAAATGTGCAATGTTCCAACTCCTGCAGCCGGCTCCAAGGACAACGTTATTGTTGAAAGTTAAATTGTACGACTGGGTGCTATGTTCCCATCAATGCACACCAACTACAGAGCTATTTGATATGGGACTAAATGCTAATTAAACATATTCCCATCACACTCGCAGGCCAAATGTTTAGTGGRTGTGAGCAGGATGCTCTTTTAGATCGGGTTGAACTGTCGCAGCCCACTGGAATATCTTTACAGTCAATAGTATTAGATGCATCTGGACTTTTGTTACTGTAGAAACTAAAAATCCCAACTCAATCCTCAAACACATGAGAAAACAACACTGCATGAATGATGCACTGAAAATTTAAGTCAGAAAAGAGAGTGCAAAGATGTGGTGTGATTGTGGGTATGAACCAGGAGGATGAGCATGAAGAAGGTCAAAAAGTACAAACATGAAGGAGAGACTGTAAAACAGGTAAGTTTGAGTCAGAAGTATCATTTTCTTCACATTCTCACAAATGCCAAACTCATATCATGACACAGGAGCTTGTTCGTGTGTTTGTCAGGATGAGTTTGACTTTTCTCTGAACCTTTCTCATTTTGAAACTGGAAAGGGAACGCTGACAGATTCCGATTTTTTTTTTCAGACAGGTGAAATCATTCAGATCAGTTATCTGAATGCCTGAGCTGAGAAGGAGGCAAAAACACTGAGAGTCTCTTGTCTTTGGAGCTGAAAGTTACTCTTCTACCTCCACACAATTCAGCCTTGTTGCGAGCTCCGTGAATAGAGCTCTTTATTATCGCTTCATCCTCAGCCTCGGCCCATGTGAAGGTGTTATTAAGAGATTGCATTTCAAACGCACTTATTAATTCCGTCTCATAGCCTGTGACGGACTGGGCCATAGTAATCAAACAGATCTTACACCTGACATTTGAAAAGTTTCAGCTCACAGCTGACCTCCTCGCTACAGAACAAGACCGGAAAATCGTTCAAAAGAGACTTTTTTGGTCGTGCGGTTCCTTTCATTCGGTTCRTTTCGCGTTATCTTTCCAGCCTCGGCTCGGCACATGTCTCTCCTCCCAACCATTTTAACCCATAATTAGACACAAAGGCAATTTCCTCAACCAACAGCTCCATTCCTATTGAATATAAAAGCTGCAAGACTAAAATTAACCCATGCAACGTTGGAACGGGTGAGAGAAGTGCGCTGAAGCTAGATGCCTTTTAAGATCACAGAGGAAGATTAAGGTGAGCATGTGCTACACACGAGCAGAACTCATGCACACATTTCACTATTTGATACTAGTGCACATTGGGAAATACAAGACATTCATTTAACTAACCCAGTAAAGAGTTAAGAGCTTCCCAATCCAGCAAATTCCAGTAWGTTAAACTGATAGTTCCAATAGTTCCTTTATAGTTAGAATGTGTGGAAAGGTTATGAGTAATGAATATCTTACCTGTTGTAGGTAGCTCTTTGAAATGAATATGGGGCTTAATTCTGATTGGTTTGATGCATAGACAGCTACTGCAGGTGAAGCTAGGTTCAGCATGGATTGCTGCTGTCTGATAAATACTTCTGTCTAAACTTTCATAAAGTATTTTTTGTTTTGTGGACCTTTACGCTGCCTTAATTTTTATTAGATTGTTATTTACATAGAATTCTAAGGTTATTTTCCAAAGGCAAATAAGCAATAGCAACAGATGTAGTATTTCTAGTACAACCTGAGGCACTTTCTGCAGGAATTTCAGGGTAGTTCTGACTGAATAAACATGCAATTTCAAACTAACGATGATGTGAAAGTATATAAATCTGCCATGACATTTTTCAGATTAAATGTGTTTTTCAGAGGCAGCAATCCAACGTGTGCTTTAAGCTGTTAGCTCATCGTTCTAGTGCAATTCAAACTATTTCTTCAAACTGAGGACATTTAAAGCACTATCTACAACAGAAAATATACTATTTTAAAACCATTTCACAAAATTAAGATTTCAAAATATTAGAACTGTTCCTTTATTATTGACAAATTWAACTTAAATTTAAACAGGTGTGATTTCTTCTGCTTTTGGGTAAAATGTATTTATCCATGTAGCCATATAAAACCAAGATGGGTTACAAGCATTTTTAAAGAAACATAAAACCTTAGACAACATCATTATCTGCTTCTAAATTCATAGTGATTGCTATTTCTGGCTATGAGCGCTTAGTAAACAACACTAGAGGGCAGTACATTGGTCTCCATTTCCACTCAGTTATACATCCTAAACCTGCATATGATACAAGGTTTTAGTATGAAATCATCAAAATTAGGAACAAAATCTAAATAAATAAATAAATAAATAAATAAAAATTTGAAATCCTTTTCACATAAGCTGCAAAGCTCTGTATGACCACACCTCTCTTTACAAACATCTCAGTTTCACATTATCTTGACGAGGTACTTCATGCTCTGAAAATTTAAAACTAAATATTTTGTTCTGAGTTCAAACGTAATTGAAATGTTCATTTCGATGTGTAGTGGACACACAAAACATTGGCGAGTTCAAATTTGCGTTTTCTGTGTGCTTGAAAATAACCTGGTACTGCTAAGTGGTGCTGTTAATCCAGATTCACACAGTGTGCAGGTATTAGAGGGCCACTTCAGAGATAAAGTAGATAGGATGCTTCCTGGCACAGTGGGAAACATGATTGGTTCCACAAATGACTTATCCAAAAACACAAAGACAGTGTGTATGCACTGGATGTGTTTGTTGGGGAAAAAAAACATTAGTGGTTTTCTTTAGATTTTGTTTTGTTCAACCAGATCTGTGTGTCTACTCTACTGTTGCAGTACTGATAGTTTCAAAGAGATTGTAAAAAAACATATCTTGCAATCCATCTAAAGATAAGCTGGAGTCCTTATTTTCATCTTGTTTTAACATTGGTACAGTTACTCAAATATGTGACACCACACTCCGCCTTCTGGGACAAAGTCAACCTAATTTCTATCTTGGTCCTCATTTCTTCACACACAGCCTACATTAGGTGCTCAGTATGTTAGTATTAGCTTTCACCTGTGATAAAAAAAAGACGTTTAAAGAAGCCATGTACAGCTATTCCCTAAGTAAAATAAACCCCAAACCCGTGTGCCAATTCTTGACAGGTTCTAAAACAAACASATTAAAATTTGACATAGTGTTGCAGACTGATGCTGAGTTCATTCATATATTGATACATCAGCTCGTCTCAGTGTCATTCCATGATAGTCGGTCGATAAACTGTTTTCTTTCTACATATTCAACTGGTAAATCTCATCCAGTGCTTTGTAAGCTACCTATCCTGCTTCCTGTTGCAGACTGCTTTGCAATTCATTTTTATCCCAGCTTCTCCTTTTCAAATCCAGCATGATCAGTGTTGTGTTTGTCATTGATTATTTTTGGTTTTGTATTCAGTGTGTTGCTGATAGCCCCACATCCGTTATTCTACATTTGCATGGGGAATAACAGAGAAGTCCCTGAGCACAGTCAAATATAAACTACTTCTATAGAAGACTTTATTTCTTAAAGGAGACACATCATGCTTTCCAATCCTTCTTTTTCACATTTAAATCATTCAGTTGGGGTTTTATATAAAGTAGACTGCAATGCTTTGRTCTGAATTCCTCCTTATTGTAACTCCACAAGCCCCAATTTCACTCCTTTTCTGAGGTATGTTTCAGATTAACTCGTTTTGATGCTGTCTCTTTAAATTCGAATGATGGACTTCACGTCACGTCCCCCTCCAGCTTCCAAAGCAGTGCATTCTAGTTTAATAGAGTGGTTTACAACTCTRTAGTGAAACAGAAACTTTACAAGATGTCAACAACGGAAGACATGTCCATCCAGCCTTACATGGTGGAGCCAGAGTCTGACTCAGAGAGGAGAATTAAGATGACCAAATTGTAGATGGTAGGTCCAGACCTTATTTGGTAATTCCATCATGAACACTGTGACGTCATAGTTCAGAATATAGGTTAAAAAATATGACTCAAACAGAATATAAAGATATCTTTGCAGTACAGGGAGAGACTAAATTAAAAATTTCTACACACCTAGTGCCTCCAAGTACACAACAAAATGTATTCAACTGCTAAAAAGGTGGATTTTGCATGATATGTCCCTTTTAATGAAAGTGATTCAAGGAGACTCTACTGTATTTATGCATGTATAATGCTAAAACTTTAAACCCCAAAATCATCCATAAAGTTGGCAGGTTAGATTATACATAGTAGTAAATTTGACCAATATTTTGCCAATGTACTAGCAGATCGTGATCTCCAGCTCTCACTGGAGTGGTTCACAGCCGAGTGTGAAGCGGCCGGGATAGAATCAGTGCCTCCAAATCCGAGACCATGGTCTTGAACCGGAAACCGGTAGCGTGCTGCCTCCGGGTCGGGGAGGAAGTCCTGCCCCAAGTGGAGGAGTTTAAGTATCTCGGATTCTTGTTCGCGAATGAGGGAAGAATGGAGCGGGAGATCGACAGGCGGATTGGTGCGCGTCTGCAGTGATGCGGGCGCTGTACCGATCTGTCGTGGTGAAGCGGGAGCTGAGCCAGAAGGCAAAGCTCTCGGTTTACCGGTCGGTCTACGTTCCTACCCTCATCTATGGTCACGAACTTTGGGTAGTGACCAAAAGAGCGAGATCGCGGATACAAGTGGCCGAAATGAGTTTCCTTCGCAGGGTGTCTGGGCTCTCCCTTTGAGATAGGGTGAGAAGCTYGGTCATCCGGGTGGGACTCAAGAGTAGAGCCACTGCTCCTCCATGTTGAGAGGAGCCAGTTGAGGTGGCTCATCTGGTTAGGATGCCTCCTGGACGCCTCCCTGGTGAGGTGTTCCGGACATGTCCCACTGGGAGGAGGCCCAGGGGAAGACCCAGGACACGCTTGAGGGACTATGTTTCTCGGCTGGCCTGGGAACGCCTTGGGATTCCCCCGGACGAGCTGGCCCAAGTGGCTGGGGAGAGGGAAGTCTGGGTCTCTCTGCTTAGGCTGCTGCCCGCGTGATCCGATCCCGGATAAGTAGCAGAAAACGGACGGACGGACGGACGGATGTACTAGCACATTGAATTGTAATATTGTCTCATATGTAGAAAGGAAGAAATTTATCATTTTTGTTCTTGCTAACTGCGGAGATAGAAGACAACGATATTAGTTGCACATTTGCGTGCGCAGTGGGAGCTGCTCCTTGATGTTGTCGATTTTGCTAATTTAACAATTGACTTMTGCTGTGGGAGTGGACTATTTTTACTAACATGCAGAAGTATGCACTGCTCCTCCACAGAYACATGCGCCCACAAGTGTGTGTCCCCAAAATATTCTGTTTCCCCATCGGAGGGTGCAACGCAAAGGCTGAAAAATCCTGAAGTCTGTATGACATTAGGGATAGCATTAAACACAAGATTTTAGAGAGAGAGAATTTTTACATTTTTTATGTCTTTATGCTCCAAAATTGGGGGGGGGGGGGGTGATCATACTGTACTTGCATACATATGGTGATTCATTTGTATGCCAACATWCAGAGGTTTGGTCCCAGGATCTTTCAGCTCCAGCATGTTTAATGTGTTCAATGACTAAAGGTTATTAAACCAATAACACGAAGTTAATTTACTCTGTACTGGATGTTGAAGCAGTGGATTTTGTGTTATGAGGCACACAAAGCATTATGTGTGTTGGCTGCAGTGGCAATGTTTTTGCTTCACTTGGTTGAAAAGTTTGTTAAACTTGATAAAATATGAAAGAAAAAAAAACAGAGAAAACAGTGGGAAGTTCCTTCCTCATGTCAATAAAAAATTGGAATTTGGATGATCTATGCAACATAAACAACATATACATCTTTAATCTGCACACACACACACACACACACACACACACACACACACACACACACACACACACAGTATGAGACATTTATCAGGAAGTGATGACATGTAGAAAATTGTTACTGTAACATGGGGACCAAATGTGCGTTAAGCTATAAAATTACCACACACACACACACACACACACACACACAGTATGAGAGCATGCACATTTTGTTCCACAGTACCTGTGCTTGTGCATTCATATCATTCAGAGCTTTCCTGAGCCCTTGACTTAGTCCCCTTCGCAGGTTCTGTCTCTGAATGCTGTCCAGCCGGTTCCTCCTCACGTAGATGGAAACAACTAAAAAAAGACAAAGCGTTTCAAAAAATTAAAAATAAAAACTGGAAGAAAAACAAAAATGTTTCAAAACTTTTGTATAAAAATGTTTGCTGACCTGTTTTGACCCACAGTCTCTCTGTGATGTTGCACTGTGGCGGTGGAGGCTCTGTGGTTGTGGTGAAAGGTGAGATGAAGATGGTGGTGACCCCCCTCGGGGGGCTTGTTCGTTGGATGGGTGACGTGAAGGTTCTCCTGCTGGTGTAAGTCCTGATGGTGGTGGTGGTGGTTGTGGTTCTTCTTATAATGTGTGTGGGTTGAGTTGTGGTTGTGGAGACTGAATGTGTTGTTACTTTTACAGAAGGTGTGCTAGTGGTAGGGGGGATTGTAGCTGAAGCTAAAGTTGTGGTGGTCAGCTTCACGGAGGCTGTAGTGGTGACCTGCTGGGGGGTCACTGGTGATACCTGAGATGTCCCCTCAATGGGATCAGCAGAAAGGACAGCCCTGTCTGGCTGAGAGGGGTTCAGACTGGCCTCTTTGTCTTTGGGGAAAGTGAACACAGCTGATTTGGATGTTTCTGTGGTTAACTCATCGATCTCTGGTTCTGTAAGAGGAAACGTCCCAGTCACTTTCTGTGAGTGATCAAAACCTAAAGAAGACATCAAATTTGGTGATGGCAAAGAAAAAGTGGATTCTACAGGAACAGATGATGATGCTGAGTGAACAGTTGCTCTTTCTGGCAATGTATCATCTGAATGCCATAATGGAGTGATGGATTTCATGAATAAGGAGGAAAACTGAGGGAAAGAAGATGAAAACGATGAAAAGGACAATGATGGCGATGATGACTGAAGCGAAAATGATGACACATCAGTTTGGGAGACTGATCCCTTCTGAGCTCTGTTAAAGTCTGGAGGCGTAACACCAGAGTCAGACACAAACACAGGAGACTGAAGATCAACTACAGGCGCCCTGTGTTCACTCTTATATGCCAGTGCAAAAGAATTAGATTGAGATGATGATGTTTCAGAATCAGTAATTATTAAAGAGAGAGGCAGAGAAACATCTGAACCCCAGGCTGATGTAGCAGCAGTGTTAGAATTGACTTCTGGCAGAGAACTGGCAGCAACAGCAGATCGGAGATAAGCACGAGGCAAATCAGTACTTCCCTCCAAATACTCTGAGCTTCCTTTGCCATAGGTAATATATGGATCCTCTCCAACAGTTGGATAAGTTGGATATGGATCACTGGTGACAGATGTTGAATCATCTGAATTCAATATATCCACATTATGCTCTTGTCTGTCTCCCAGCTTCTGATGTTCATATGATGAGCCATCTGCTGGTAAATTAGATTTTGCCCTGTCAAAAGCACTAGATGCATTTTCTGATTTAAAAGCACTGCTTTGAAGAGGCATAGGCTTGGTGGCTTTCCGCTTTGTATACAGAGTCATTAGTTTTGTGCCAAAGCTGCTGAAAATAGCACTCGATGTCTGCATGCTGTTCCGTCCGTCACTGAACGAGCTTGTTACCGCAGAGGAAACGGCTGTTTGTCTGCCCAAAAAGGAATTTGAGTTATCACTCCTCACCCTGGTGATCAATCCCAGAGAGGACAAGTTTGTTTTCGGTGTCAGAATGTTTTCTGATTCCGCCAGAGGAGAAAAAGTGCCGTGGCCTTGGTGAGAAAGTCTTCCAACAAGTTCCAATGCACCATCAAACGCTTCAGGAGGAGAGGATTTAGCAAATGGTTTTTTGTCAGAACTTTCAGAGGCATTATTAAGCACAAAGAGAGGCTCTGAAGTCATAAAAGCTGGGAGGCGTGTTGCGAGCTGCTCCGAAAGATGGCTTGTCTTGTAAACTGCGGAAGACTTTCCGCTGCCACGGAAAAAAGCAGAAATGTCACTCCTTGCAGTGTTTTGGTGGAAGTGCGCTGAAGGCTCATCTCTGTGCAACACGTTTGATGTAACAGAGTTTCTTGGTTTTGTTTGGAACTCAGCAATTCCTTGTGATTTTATGGGAGCAAAGGTTTCAGCTGTGGATCCTGCTAACTCGACAGAATTTCCAAAAGGTAAAGCAGGTGTAGGAAAACTGTTGAGGAAACTAAACAAGGATTGTGTTTGAAGAGGTCTTTCCAAGGAGGACAACTGTGTAACCTCCTTACTGACAAACATTTTGACTGGATCTTCTTTAGGATCATGATTTGAGTTGGTGAGAGGTAAATATGAAGTCTGAGGAGGACGGTGTGAGCTGCTTTGATGCTTGTTTTTATATGTTATTAATTTTGAAAACTCTGTTGGATCTGAAGCAGACTTTGTCCGACCGTTTGGGGTAAATATAACATTTAAAGCCGTCTGACCTATGTGAGTTGCATCTTTTACACGGTCTGCTTCCGTGACATATTCCTGAACATTTTTTAGCAAATCTGAATCTGATGTGGACACAGGCACTTCCGCTTCGGTACTCAAATGAAGGATGGAGCCAGACTCAGGTCTCAGCTGCGTGAGTGGAAGTGAGTTATCCAAGTGAGCCTGTGTAGAAGCAGATCTGAACTCTGCTCCTGGTATTTCTCTCTGGTTGTGATTTATACTGATGGCGGGAAGTCTGGGACTGCTGCGACCCACTGCCATCAGTAAATCACCGGGATTAGATGCATGCTCTGAGGACTCGGTGCTAGACTGAGTACGTGTTCGTTTGTCAGGCGCAGTTTGAGAGAGAGGCGTTTGATCTGATGAAGGAACTCTAAAAAACAATCTGCTGGGTGTGAAGGCCATTGTTGGTGTTACGGATGGATTCGCTGCACTGCTTTCGTGAGCTAAATTGTTGCTATCTGCTGCGGTCTTGTCTTCCGTTTGAATATATGCTGTTCGTTGTAACATCTGCTGTGTGACATGACTGGAAAGTGAATAGCCTTTAGCACGGGCAGACAGCAGCGCTGATGTGGGAATCTGTGAAGTTCCCCGCAGCCTCTGAACAGCTTGACTCTCTTGATTGAACAAAAATGAATAGCTGCTTTCAAGATTATTGCCAGATACAGAGTTCAAGCTCTTGTTCTGAATCCGAGTAGGTAAATTATCTGAGAAATTCACACCGTTGTTTGGAGTAGAATATAAAATATTTGTGCTGATTTTTGCCCCTGAGGACATATACCTATTTGTAGCATTGATGAACTTTTCAGGGATTTTTTCTGCCAGTGAGTACAAAGAGTGTGTTGTCGTTTCACTGCGCTTTTTTGTGTTCGCTTCATTTAGAAAGTTTGCTGGTTTGCTTGTGGCGTTCTGCATTTCCTGTGTAACCGCATGTAGGTCAGGGACAGTGAGAGAGGTAGGTTTTGCAGTTGTCAGACTATCCGTCCAACCCTGAGGCCCTGCAGATGATAGTGCTGCTGTCTCAGTCTGAGAAGCAGGGCTGGACACGGTTCCCTGACCCCGAGATGAAACAGCTTTGTTTATCCACTCAGTGGAAGATGACAGATAAAATAAAGACAACAGGGATGAAGGCACAGAGGACGTGGCTGGAGCTGATGAGGACATTGATGTCAACGACCAAAATGGAAATGATGAGAGGTTTTTCTTTCCATTCTTAAAAAACGATGCATGTGATGGACTGGAGACACGGGACCAAACGGCCTGAGGGGGTGTGGTGGGTTTTTGAGACATGCTGAAAATTAGACCTGAGCTTGTTCCGAAGCTGTCTCCCACAAACGACGACGATGAGGAGGGCTCGTCTGAGGCTCGGCTGGAGCTACGTGAAGGCCATTGGGTGGTGTGCGTCTCGTCCCTGCTATCAGTCGGCAAGGCTCGACTTTGATCAAGGCTCGCAGGATGTTTGACAGTTTCTGCCATCACGGTTAGGACGGAGGAAAAGGCCGGCTGTCCTGACAAACCTTCTCCCTCAGACTCGGGGTCAACATCTGAATGGACCACTTGGAAAGGCACCTCCTCTGCCACCAACAGCTCAGTTAGTGGATGAGTGGGTGCACCTGTGACTGCAGAACTGCTCGGTAAAGGTGAGAAGCCAGAGGCATCGTAGGTGGATTTTTCTGTAGAAAAAACAAAGAAAAACAAACAGGTAGTTTATAACTTAAAGTCCAATTATTAGTCAGCTTATCTACCTCCTACCATTTTACATAAAGTAAGCTAAAGCATCAGCCAGGCTTTTTATTTTACTTTATTTAATATATTTTTAACTCCTCAATGCACACTCCTCCATATAATAATCACCATATCCTGATGCATCTCAATCTCACAAGTTTGAGTCAGGTCCTCTGGACAAGTTTTTCATTGAAACATTTTATCTTCAGACTGAAACTTGTCCAGAGGACTCCATTTTGTTAGACCCACACTAWATACTGTATTACAAATATTGCTCACAGCAGAAGTGTAACAGTACATCGATCCACATCAATGTATCTATTAAATTATTAATGATTTAATTACATGAAGGCAAAATAAAAACATCAATCCATATTGTCCTCATATAACTGATTATTCAACATCATATGTCCATCTAACACAATCAGGATTGCATTTGATGGACATATGATATTACATCATATTGACTTTTTGAATCATTTAGTTAAGAAGGAATGTTTTTCATTTGTGGTATTTTTTGGGACTTATTATTTATTTAGAATTTTGTTGCGACATGTGACCATAGGAGGCGCAGTATTGTTTATGAGTGTGTAACTCGAGAAGAAAAAGTGTTTTGTTCTGTGAAGAAGAAGAAGAAGAAGAAGAAGAAGAAGAAGAAGAAGAAGAAGAAGAA